ATATATTGTTACGTGACCGTTTCGTAAATTCGTTCTGACGAAACTTTAGCGACACAAATCCTTACTTAATAAAACTGGTTTATTCTTTCCGAATACAACTTTACGATACACTTATTTTCAACAGTCGCGCTATAACAAACTATAATAACGACATTAACTTCAACAATGCGTCTCTCTCTGACTGCAGATCAATTACTCACTGTCTACACACACATTGTTCCGTCACGTTGTCACCCTCTTATATATATACCAGGCTACCCTATATCTAGTAATCTCCCGAAGGTTCGAGAGAAGTGGCGTGACACTAGTCACGTGACCTCGCTGACGCAACATTATGTTGATATCGTTCCAACTGCCTTTGTGATTTTATGGAGATAACCTGTTCTGCCCATAGAATCGCTGTAATGCTGCATATTGTGCAAGAATGTCGACAGTCACTGTTCTCCAATGGTAAACCAGATGATAATATCGAGGTTAAGGCTTCCCTATGTTTGAAAGAGAATGACCAGCAACGTGGGTAACAGGAGTCACTATGGGTAAATCTGATGTTTCCTGTTAAGTAAATAATGCTAAATTTAAACATTTGTTTACTGGATCCTGAATGAATTGGTTAGTAGGAATAATTCTTAAGGGAAGATGCCAGATTAATGAAATTACGAATCCAGTGTCCATAAACAAGCACACAGTGTTCTGTGCCCTTGATTAATAAAGATTATTTTCATTGTTTGTTACACATCATGTCAGTTTTAGCTAAATTCAATATCACTTCCTAACATATCCTGCCAATCCCCCCATTATAAGGTGGACCTATCTAATACTCTGAGTAAATTAGTTGCACCTGAAAATACCACAATAGATCCTTATTTTTTAAATAAATTTTGCTTTTAGACAGAATGTTCACTTTATTTTCATAGAGATTTCCAGATTGTAAATTTTTAGCTTTTAAAGATTAACTTTGAGCTTTAAATGTTTATTTTGTTCTTAAACACTGAAGCCAGCCTGGCATGGCCTGGTGGTTAGGGTGCTTGACTAGCGATCTGAAGGTTACGAATTCAAATCCCCATCACCAGACATGCTCCTCTTATATGGTTTCCGACTGGGCCAGACACCTGGGTTAAAAAATTCCTGGCGGAAAAAAACAAACAAATAATACCGGCCGACCCCAAAACTAGTCTTTTTCATGAGTGCAATGGATCATCAGACAGTTCAAAAGATTTGTGACTCCATTAATGAAGAACACTGAACAGTGAAGAACATTGCTGTTGTTGACCTGTTTCTCAAAACGTGTGAAGTTCCAGCAACATTCCCATGGGTAAAGTAGATACTGTTTACTGTCTACTGATGGAGACAGTGTGATATGCATGCATATCACGTTTCCTACCTACTTTTATTACCATAGTAATTTTTTTAGTATTTTATTTAATCAGTTTTCATGCAGTTTTGGCATCAACAGGTGGTCCACAAAACTGTCGAAGTTGCCTTTGTTCTTTATAGCAGATAATATCTACTCTGTGTTGAAAATGTCAATGATTGCAACATACTTTGCTGGCCAAGTGGACGATGTCTATGCTGTGAGAAAAATGACCAATTATGTAGTGATGCTATCACAACACAAAGTAACCAAATGATACTTTACTGGCAAAACCATGGTCATGAATAAATTATGTATTTGTGAAACGTACAACTGTATTTTCCTCAATTCTGCAAAGTAACCAAGGTCTCCAGTATCAATATGGAGCCCTAGTTCTTCAGAGTTCTATGTGGTTGACAATGTGACTAATCTCCATATATTCGTCTTGAGGAAATAAAGCTGTAGATCACTGAACCATTAGAGACAATCATTCACTTGCCTATGCAAGTAAGAACAGTTCTTTTTGTGTCATAAATAGATTGTTTCACATAACATCACACATGTCAAGTCTGTTTATTTCTCACACAGCTTAAAACTCATTTTTACCCAGAATAACGTGCATATTCACATGGCTGGTTATTTTCTTACAGTATAGTTAAGACAACATTTCATGTAGTCAGCCAGTGAAGAACATTGCTGTTGTTGACCTGTTTCTACAAAACGTGTGAAGTTCCAGCAACATTCCCATGGGTAAAGTAGATACTGTTTGCTAGAGAACAACAAAAGTTAACCAAAATGAAAATAATTCGATAGTTTTCTGGACCAAGTGTCTATGCTTAAATTGTATAAAATCAGACTATATGAGACATTTTTTAACTTCCTATATTAATAATAAAAAAAAAAAACAGTATATTTGTATATTACACTTTTTTTCAACAGAATGTTTGTCAATGAATATAAATAATTCAGTTCTTTTTGCTCTAGTTATTGTACTGTGTCATGTCCTTATGATGTCACATGTACTTTCTCATGGTAAAGATTGCTTTAAAGTGCAATACACTATGTCAATGTATACAGTGATCTTTCCTACTGATGTGCAAGGTGATAGTTTGAGGATATATATATATATATTTATTTTTTTTTTCTGCTGAATTGACCAACAATAACATAGGTAGTGTATACTGACTGGGATGGCATTATAAAATCTAGAGAATAATGCTGTAAAATGCTTGATTAGCATGGAACAAGTTCTTCATAGATTCCACAAGTTTTCATGTTAATAAGTTAATCAAGAATTCAGTCTTGATCTCCATTAGAAGTACTGACTTCTGTCCAATATGCTCATCCACTTTGACTGTTTTCATCAATAAAAATAATTTTTCACTTTTTACTTAAACTATATTTGGTCTCTTTCCTCAAACTCAGCATAAGGAATTCAGATTTAATCCATGATGTAATTTCTGATTGTTCCTCCTGTTACTTGCAATTACTACCTGAAAGGTGAATCAGTAAACTTGAGAATACCAGAGTATTATAAGTGAATTAGTAAGATAGTACACAGTTCAATTAAAAAAAACACAGTAACATACCCTTATGTAAGGTTTAAAGCTTTTTACAAAAATAATAACATAGTGAATATCCACTTTTATTTTACTATTACATACTCACACTCTATCATTCTACAATTTCCCTATTTTGGTTAATTAACATAGAAATTGTTCAATTCACCTATTATACAAATATAGCAGCCAGAAGTTGCCCCAACAAATTTTTGAAGATCGAGATGTCCTTTATAAATATGAAACAAATTTTGTTTTTTTGTTAAAGACAATCAAGATCAAAGACTTATTTGAAATATGATATCCTTTCTATTTTGATTTGTAATCATCCACTAGAGTTCCACAATATATATATTTACATTTTGTTTTATACTTAAAATGATTTTTAGTAAATCTACTAAACACTTTTAACTATGCTTACTTTTCAATTTATTTAAAAATCTACTCACTCACAGTAAGCTGACATGATTAGGTTAATGAACTTTAATCTATGTAAGATGACTTCAAAGGTTTGCCATAAACTGTGAAGCATGCAATCTTTATTTCATCCACAGCTTCTTGATAATTGTATCCTAATAATTCATATCTGATACTGGGTTTAAGCAGGTTGATAAATTCAAAACTTCCACCTCTTTCAGAATAAATAAGTTGGTTGAAATTGTTAATAAATTTGTCATCATAGGTAATCCTGAGACAATGAACTGAATATAAACATATTAACTGGAATTTACAGTAGGGGGGGGGGGGGAATCAATTGAAGTCATTTCTATCATATTTGAAAGTTTTTCACAGGTAAAATGTATTTCTTTTTCTATACCACAAAAAATAATTTTTCAAAATGGCAACACATCCATGCATTTTAATTTTCAAGATATGGCTTAAAAACAAATAAAATTGGTGTGATAGATGGCCCAAATATAGCTCAATATTGTAGTCCAACTGGTCTACGGGAACATCAGAGAGTCCAGTTTTTTTCAATTTATCAAGTGTCTTTACTCACTAGGGGTGATTGGAGGCAAACATTAAGAATTACCTTAGTCCCTTTTTCTCTAATGCTTTGGTGTAGAGCAGTGGTTCCCTACCTGGGATCTGCGTAGGTAATACCATCTCATTAAACAAGTAAGTTTTTTAAGACTGATGTTCTTTTTAATTGCACACTCAGTTATATGTGTCTTTTATTTGATAGTGAAAAGTGGGAGAACGA